TGGCACGCGCGACCTTTGAATAAAGCAGTTTCTTTACTTGACTCGGATCTATAATAAACATCAGCCAGTTCTTTACTAGATTTGGATCTATAGAAAACATCAGGTGTTTCTTTGCCAGAATCTGACCTGTAAAAACCATCCTGTGGAGCTGGTGTACCACGACACACTGGCGTGGTATCAACACATTGACAGCAAGGAAACTCTCCTCCACAACACTCAGGTTCCCATAGTAAACCATCCCTGTCTCTACCTGCAATGTTCCCCCCTGTCAAAGCTCTATCAACTGTGTCGACCACGCCACCAACATCTTGGTCTGGAGCCTCAAGACAACTTTTGTAACTTTGTTCTAGAAGGGCCTGGAGAATTGATGTTCCCCTTTCCCTATGTTGCTCACCATGCTGAGCTTGGATACAAATTATGATCTCAGTTTCAGCACTGTCGTCCCACTCCTGGCTTACAGGCTGCACACTGGCCTGACCCGCTGAATGGTGACCCACTGAATGGTGATCCGCTGAATGGTGACCCACTGAATGGTGACCCACTGAAAGGTGACCCACTGAATGGTGATCCATTGAATGGTGACCCACTGAATGGTGACCCACTGAATGGTGACCCACTGAATGGTGACAGGTGCTAGCCCCAACACCTTGGTTCCCACCTGGCTCAGCTACACCTGACAGACCTGCGGAACATTTCTCATCAGCGGCTAGTTTATATTTCTTAATTTCCTTCAAGAGCTGGATTTCTTCCCCAAACACAGAGCAGTCAGCGCCTGCACTGAGTTCCAGCATCAAATCAATCTTAGAGCCAGAACAGACCTCCACAGTTTCAGAAAACCTGACTCTCTTCAGCTGACATTTGAGCGGATCATTGGGTCTGGGGCAGTGGATAATACTGTCAGCTTTATGCTCTGGCTCTTTCACCACAGTCTTGATGTCACCAGGGGAATTACAGGTGTCAGGGTGCACTGTAGTCTCACCAGGTGTATTACAGGTGTCATGGTGCACTGTTGTCTCACCAGGTGTATTACAGGTGTCAGGGTGCACTGTTGTGTTACCAGTTGAATTAAAGGAATCAGGGTGCACTGTTGTCTCACCAGGTGTATTACAGGTGTCATGGTGCACTGTTGTGTCACCAGGTGTGTTACAGGTGTCATGGTGCACTGTTGTGTCACCAGGTGTATTACAGGTGTCAGGGTGCACTGTTGTGTCACCAGGTGTGTTACATGTGTCAGGGTGCACTGTAGTCTCACCAGGTGTATTAAAGGTGTCAGAGTGCACTGTTGTGTCACCAGGTGTATTACAGGTGTCACGGTGCACTGTTGTGTCACCAGGTGTATTACATGTGTCAGGGTGCACTGTAGTCTCACCAGGTGTATTACAGGTGTCAGGGTGCACTGTAATCTCACCAGGTGTATTACAGGTGACATGGTGCACTGTAGCCTCACCAGGTGTATTACAGGTGTCAGGGTGCACTGTAGCCTCACCAGGTGTATTACAGGTGTCAGGGTGCACTGTAGTCTCACCAGGTGTATTACAGGTGTCAGGGTGCACTGTAGCCTCACCAGGTGTATTACAGGTGTCAGGGTGCACTGTAGTCTCACCAGGTGTATTACAGGTGTCAGGGTTGGCTACTGAGTCACCAAGAGAGCCAGGCAAACCGTTCAAGGTTCTGTGACATTGACTACCACGAGTGTCTTGAGGCCGGTGCTTGACCCACACCTCACTGTCTAGGCTGAGGTCATGACTTGGCTCCTCCCCCTGGCTAGTCCCAGCAAGACAGTCGTCAGTGTGGCACCAGCCAATCATACAGTCCTCGGAGATCACCTGTCCTCCATCCGCTGACATTTCCTGGCTCCTGTATCCAAACTTTTGACTTCTTGTGTTCAAGGTACCATCCCTGTCACAGGCACCATCCCTGTCACAGGCACCATCCCTGTCACAGGCACCATCCCTGTCACAGTTATCAATATTGGGAGCATCAACCTTACTAAAAGAATTTCCTAAGCAGGTACAATGTCTTCGAGCTTCCTCCACATTTATAGACTTCAGAGCCAGGTCCTTAAAATCCATCATGTCTTTCTCTTCAATTACAACAACCTTATCGTCTTTTGGAGCCTGACATGCGAGCTCAGAAACATATTCCACTCTTTGGTTGGTATCCAACAGACCATGGTGAAGCTCAGGTTTCTGGGAGTCTAAGTGTCTGGAATAAAAGAGTCCCTCTCTGCTGGGGCCCATAAAGATGGTTGACTTGAGGTGTGGGTTCATGTCTATGATGGCGTGAGTGCAATGGTCACTGTCGTCTTGTGATGAGCCATCGTCATCGTCG